GACTAAGCATATGATCGGCCATATGCTCTTTTAAATGATCTGATCTACAAATGATCTATAGCAAATGTCACATTCATAAGTTGATTTCTCGACTGACTCCTGCTTGACTTCTTCTTCAATTTTCACCTCGGAATTCATAAATCTTTCTAAACACGTATCATCATCTTCAAAACACGATTCAGATTTAACAGTAACATCAGGATCATCAAATGCATCCTCCATTTCGAGTTTAACGTCTTCTGGTGAATATTCAGGTGGTTCAATTTTAATTTTTTGATCATTCATAGACATAATTGTTTCCTCCGACATTTTTAAATATTTTCACTACTTATACTCACAAAACATTTACGAAAATAGTTGTGTGCTAAATAATAGTTTAGTTTTATCAATATGATAAATAAATTCAACTTTTACATTTATTATTTGACATTTGAAGCAATAGAGTTCATTTGTAGCAATAGAGAAGTGTTGCCAAGTCCACCATAGAGAAAATTTGTAGATAGGCCAGAAAAAAAACTGTAGAAAACTGTAGATATCAAATTGAAAACCTTTAAATCTTAAATCTACAGATTTATCAATAAATGATGGTAACATTAAATAGTTATAATAGAATATTTATAGCAACTAACAAAATATAACATTAGTGGCATTTTGAAAAAAAAGTTGGAAGCAATTATGATCTCTAAGGGTTTTGTTATTATTCTCATTCATCCCGAACATCGTTACGTTACTTATCAAAAAGCGATAATTCTGAATATAGGTTTTCCATCGTAGCTTACACAATATATTGTGTACTTCATTAATTATTTATTATTTCATGTTATTATTAATAAAGATAGATTTGAATCAAACTTAAACTAGTTGAGTATTAATTAAACGAAACAAAATGCAAGTTATGTTTTCGTCAAAAAATCCGATTCGCTAATTTTATGTTTTCTCGATGTTTCAAACCATTCTGAATCGAATGAGACCAAATTTGGAAAAAGGATGTGTGTGTGTGCGTGTGCACACATGTGCGCGTTTATCAACTTTGCGCGACGATCATCAAAGCCGTTTCTTTGTAAATCGCAGAAAAGTGAAAAATTTTTCGTCCACGTTTTAGCTCGCAATTCTGAATCGATTTTGAAAATTCAAAATCCGTTCGAAAGATATAGGTTTGGAATCGTGCTGATTAACTTTTGGTAAAGATCGGCCGGGCCGTTTTTTTGTAATAAAGTTTTAAAAAAAAAAAAATCGGCGATTTTTATAATTTTTTTTTGACGGTAGATATCATAGTCTTCTAGATCATACTAAAATATTACCGCCCTACGACAACTCGTTTAGCTTTAAAAATTCGTCAAAGTTTGCAAAAATTGGTATCGTTTTTTTTTGGCATTTGTCAAAATTAGACTTCATAAACCTTTGCTCAAAAACGCCTTAACCGATTTCAGAAATTTAAAAGCCATTCAATGTATCTATAGTTTGTCAGTTTTGTGAGACGATCTGCCGAGCCGTTTCTTTGTAATTTGAGCTCCACATTTAAGCTCATTCTACCGAATCGATTTTAAAAAATCAAAAACTGTTCGAAAGATATTAGCTAGGAATGAAACTGATTAGATTTAGGTGAAAATCTACCGAGCCGTTTTCTTGTTGAAAAAAAAAATTTAGGCCGATTTTTATGAAACTTTCTTTGGCGATCATGATCTTACAGAGCTTACTGAAATATTACGGCCTTACGACAAGTCGTTTAATTTTAAAAAATCATCAAATTTTGAGAAAATGAGTAGTTTTGTTGACGTTTGTTAAAATTAAAATTAGACGATTTACTTTGTATAACTTTAGAGTACTTGGTATTAATAAATTATTAAAGTCCTACGGAAACTGGTTCAAATATAAAAATTGAAAATTTGCTTGTAGAGATACTCCGAGTTAAGGTGTTCGTTCGTTTTCAATTATGTGTAATAAATTCACTCGGAATTTATTTGTTTATTATTGATTAAGTCGATTATTTACACATATAGGGAAGTTCATATAACTTGCCTCAAGGCTAAATACCAATACCAACTAGTTTAAAATATTGATAATTTATTGATAATTATATATAACATTCGTAAATGTTGAAAATATGACATATTTTCTATGTATAATATCATATAATATGCTTTAACGCATTAACAAATCAGTTGGTTTTCAGCTTTAATTCTAACAATCTATTTTTTGTGTCGACAAATCGGTTCAGATTGACTTACAAATACAAGAAATGACTTACAGATGGAAAAAAATCAGTGATCAATAAATATTGATTAATGATTAATAGCGATTGTTTTAAGTATTTTCAAATAGTTATTTATACATATTTTATATTTCAGGGGGAATCCATTATTCACGTGAGGTTTTGAGGGGGAGGGGGGTTAGACAAAAATCACAACATATCACGTGGGGGAGAGAGGGTATAGTAAGATATCACGTGTATTTATTTTTTAACTGATTTTTTTTTAATTCAAATATTTTCAAAAAAAAATCAAAAATTTTACAGTGTTTTTCACTTTAAATACACGTGGTGTTTGGTGGGGAAAGGCGGTTAATTTTGAAAATCCCATAAAATCTTCAAAAACTCGCTCAAGTAAATAGAGCAGAAACATATTCGCTAAGGGGAACTCAAATTGACTGAAGCGCTCGTAGTGGTCATTTTGAGCACTACGGAACGCTATATTCATAGATAAAAAAAGAGTTTCTACTCTCTCTTTTGCTATAAATGAACTCTATGCTTCAAATGCCAAATAATAATAATAAATGTAAAAGTTGAATTTATTTATCACATTGACTAAAATTATTGATAAATCTAGACTATTATTTAGCCCACAACTATTTTCGTAATTTTTTTGTGAGTATAAGCAGTGAAGATATTTAAAAATGTCGAAGAAAACAATTATGTCTGTGAATGATCAGACAATTAAAATTGAACCACCAGAATATTCACCAGAAGACATTAAACTTGAAATGGAGGATGAATTTGATGATCCTGATGTTGTTGTTAAATCTGAATCGTGTTCTGAAGATGATGATACGTGTTTAGAAAGATTCATGAATTCCGAGGTTACAATTGAAGAAGAAGTCAAACAGGAGTTGGTCGAGACATCAACATATGAAAGTCACATTTGCCATAGATCATTTGCAGAATCAGATCATTTAAAAGATCATATGGCCGATTATGGCGATATGGCACCAGAAGACATTAAACTTGAAATGGAGGATGAATTTGATGATATTGATGTTACTGGTAAATCTGAATCGTGTTCTGAAGATGATGATACGTGTTTAGAAAGATTCATGAATTCCGAGGTGACAATTGAAGAAGAAGTCAAACAGGAGTTAGTCGAGACATCAACTTATGAATGTCACATTTGCAATAGAACATTTACAAAAACAAATCATCTAAAAGAGCATATGATGGAGCATCTGCCTCATAATAGCAAAGAAAGTCCTTTCAAATGCGAAATCTGTTACAAGACTTTCAATCAATTAGGTAATGTGAAAAAGCACATGCTCATTCACAGTGGTGAGCGTCCCCATGAATGCAATATATGCAAAAAGACTTTCACAGCAAGAGGTGATCTGAAACGTCACATGCTGATGCATAGTGGAGTACGTCCTCATGAATGCAATATATGCAAAAAAACATTCACGCTATCAGGCAATCTGAAACGCCACATGCTGATGCACAATGGAGTACGCACTCATGAATGCAATATATGCGATAAGAAATTTACAATATATCATTATCTGAAAATGCACATGCTGATACACAGTGGTGAGCGTCCCCATGAATGCAATATATGCAAAAAGACATTCACAAAATCAAATAATTTGAAACGTCACATGCTGTTACATAGTGGAGTACGCACTCATGAATGTAATATATGTGATAAGAAATTTACACTATTTCATTATCTGAAAATGCACATGCTGATACACAGTGGTGAGCGTCCCCATGAATGCAATATATGCAAAAAGACATTCACAAAATCAAATAATTTGAAACGTCACATGCTGTTACATAGTGGAGTACGCACTCATGAATGTAATATATGCAATAAGAAATTTACACAATCTGGTAATCTGAAAAAACACATGCTGATTCATAAACGAGAGAATTCCTGTAAATGTGAAATATGTAATAAGGAATTTATTCAATCAAATGATTTGAAGAGACACATGGAACTTCATAGTCAAAAGTGTGGTGAAGATCAATGAAATATAAGTAATTATTATATTTGTTTACTTCAATTTAAATATTGTAAAATTTTCTTGCATATAGTGTAATGTATAAATTATATGAAATACACAGTAAACACTACATAATATCTATCTTGTTTTATAATTTCTTATTCATATTTTAATTTTAGTATTATTAATGAAGATTAGCAACCATTAGTTTCAGGTTCAAATACAAATACCAATCTTGGTCAGCAGGCAGCTCATACGTCAATAGTCAAATGGTTTTGACTGATTATGTTCAATTAAATTTAATAGGGTGTTTCAGATGAATATTATTTAATTGTACTGAGTAGTTTCATTTGTACACAGAAACATTACTAAACGTTTCGAAAGTATTATTAGACACTCAAAATATAATTTTTTTTTGAAATGTTATTTCTTTCACACTCTTTTTTGGAAAACGTATTTATTTCAAATCCTATACTCTAAAGGCACTCACTTGTATAATTTTATACTCATTTGTATTTATAGAATATTTTTCAGATTATATTTTCTTTAGGTTATTTAAATTAAGATCCTAAATTTAGTATCAATTGAAGAGGACATTTTGTTGAATAATTTATTTCGAGTTATAACAAACAACACAAAACATAACTTTGGAACGCGCACATGTAAAAATTTCATTGCACAGTGCACACAAAATTACGAGATCTTCTGAAAAGAAATATTATACAATTGGTAGTATTAAAATGAGTTTACCAGAATAATAATTCACTTTGTTTATATTTTTTGAGGCTTGACAAATCTCCTACAATTTTGAAGGAATTCCTTCCAACTGCCACGAAGAGTTTTTTATAAAATACGAAAAGCTCAATATAACATAAAAAAACAATATTTTCATCACAGCAACATGATGCCTGTAAATGAAGAAATTCAACAAAAAACAGAATTATTATTATATTTATATTATCATTATTATTATAATTATTATCTTATTATTTCGATATTGTTATTTGTTATATTTATTATCATCTTTCACTTATTGTTTTTATTCTACTTTATTGTTTTTCTAGTATTATTTTTATAATTCAGAAATTTTACTTATTAGTTATATTATAATAATAATTATTATTATTTGCTTTTGTTTTATAATTAAATTAACATACTACAAATATCATTTTATTAAAAATTCTGTCCTTTATTTTGTGCTCTTTTTAATAAATTTATATAATTGTTCATTTTTGTTACAAGATGTTAATTATTTAGCAGTTGTAACAAATATAGTAATTAAAAAAAAAGTGCTGACCCATTCTAACAGTTATTTTTTAATGCATTTTATTGTTAAAACGTGTCGGCCATTTTGTGGTACAGAGACATTTTTCTGTATTTTTTAAAATAACTGCTAAATTACTTATTATAACTAAATACAGTCTTTAACAAAAGTTGTAGCTGAATAAATTTTTAAAAACATTTTTTTTCAACAAAAATGTAGTAAAATTCTTGCTTATATTTTTAAAATATATTTAAACTTCCACAATGTTGAAAACGTGTCGGCCATTTTGTTGTGCAAAGACATTGTTTCTCGTTTTTAATAACTTTTGAATTATTTATTATTACTGAAAACAGTCTTTGACAAAATTATAGCTGAATAAATTCTCTAAAACATTTTCATTTTCATTTTCAAACAAAAATGTTGTAAATAATGTTGAAAACGTGTCGGCCATTTTATGGTACAAAGACATTTTTCTGTATTTTGTTAATAACTCTTAAGTTACTGATTATAACTAAATACTATCTTTGATAAAATTATTGCTTAATAAATTTTCTAATACATTTTTCCCCAGACAAATCATATTGTAAAATTTCTAATTCTATTTTTAAAATATTTTTTTGAAGTTTAAATAGCATATTTCTGGAAGACAATTTTTGGTATTATAATTCCAAACAAATAATAACAATATATTGTTACTAACTTCTAAATTACGTGTTCAATCTAAATATAATATTAGATGAAAATGTAGCTAGATTAATTATATTTATTTTAAGTCTATTAAAAATCTTATATTGTAAAATAAGTGCTAATATATTTAAAATATTTTCAAAATTACATTATGCTTCAAAGATTACTTGATCATGGAGGGGTGTACTGCATTGTGCGAAAACATTTTTTTATATAAACTATAAACCTTTGTATTTTCAGTCTTATGTGTATATATTATAGTTTATTCATTTTTGTGAAATAAGATAAAATTTAGACTAGAATGTAATATAAAAATACAAAGCAAACCATTGGGTTTTCCATCTAGAAAATGCCAATAGATGAAGAACTAGAATTTCAAAAACCAATTACTCAATGTCTATCTATAGACAGATTGTAATTAATATGTAAAGAAATTTAATAACTTTTAAACTGCTTTTCAAAATTAATCACAGTCTTAGAGAAAATTATACCTAAACAATTTTTTCAAAATATTGTCCAACAATAAAATAATGCAAAACTAGTGCAAATATTTTTAAAATATTTATAAACTTGCATAAAGCTAAAAACATTTAGATCGTGCCTGGACATTTTTTTATATTTACTTATATCAATAGCTTCTAAACTGTAATAGATAATCAAATATAATCTTATACAAGATTAAAGCTAATTAGATTATCTAAAATAATTACTATATAACACTTTTAAAAAACTAGTGCAAACTGACTAGTGGTGCCTTAAGGCTAATAGCTGGACAACAATTTTTGTTTTTAAAATAATTCATTTTATTTTAAATTGTAGGTATGATTTACTAATAATATAATATTCCTTGTGAATATCTAATATCACTACTGCTGACCAAGATTGGTATTTGTATTTGAACCTGAAACCAATGGTTACTAATCCTTATTAATAATACTTAATTCATAAAAATTAAAATAATAAAAAATTATGAAATAATATTGATATTATATAGTGTTTACTGTATATTTCATACTATTTATACATTCCATTTTGCAATGCAAGAAAATTTTACAATATTTAAATTTAAGTAAACAAATATGCTTATGTTTCATTGATCTTCATCACGCTTCTGACTATGAAGTACCATATGTCTCTTCAAACCCTTCGATTGAGTAAATTTCTTATTACATACTTTATTTATCAAGATGCTCTCGTTTATGAATCAGCATGTGTTTTTTCATATTACTAGATTGTGTAAATTTCTTATTGCATATATTGCATTCATGAGGACGTACTCCGCTGTGTGTCAGCATGTGACATTTAAGATTACCTCTTTCTGTGAATGTCTTTTTGCATTTATGGCATTCATGGGGACGCTCACCACTGTGTATCAGCATGTGACTTTTCAGATTACTTGATTGCTTGAATGTCTTGTTGCATATAATACATTCATAAGGGCGCTCACCACTGTGAATGAGCATGTGAGATTTTAGATCACTTAAAAGTGTGAATGTATTATTGCATATATTGCATTCATGAGTACGTACTTCACTATGGATCAGCATGTGATGCCTCAGATTATTTGACTGCGTGAATGTTTTTTTGCATATATTGCATTCATAAGGACGCTCACCACTGTGAAAGCGCATGTGGGATTTAAGAGTATCTAAAAGTCTGAATGTCTTTTTGCATATATTGCATTCATGAGGCCTTAATCCAGTGTGAATGACCATGTGACGATTCAGATGACTTGATTGTGTAAATTTCTTATTGCATATATTGCATTCGTGGGGACGTACTCCACTGTGTATCAGCATGTGACTTTTCAGATTGCACAATTGTGCAAATGTTTTTTTGCATATATTGCATTCATGAGGACGTACTCCACTGTGAATGAGCATGTGACTTTTCAAATAACTTGATTTTATGAATGTCTTATTGCATATATTGCATTCATGGGGACGTACACCACTATGCACCAGCATGTGACTTTTCAGATTGCCAGATTGCCTGAATGTTTTTTTGCATATATTGCATTCATAAGGACATACTCCACTATGCATCAGCATGTGACGTTTCAGGTTACCTCTTTCTGTGAAAGTCTTTTTGCATATATTGCATTCATGGGAACGCTCACCACTGTGAATGAGCATGTGCTTTTTCACATTACGTAATTGATTGAAAGTCTTGTAACAGATTTCGCATTTGAAAGGACTTTCTTTGCTATTATTAGGCATATGTTCGATCATATGCTCTTTTAGATGATTTGTTTCTGTAAATGTTCTATTGCAAATGTGACATTCATAAGTTGATGTCTCGACTAACTCCTGTTTGACTTCTTCTTCAATTGTAACCTCGGAATTCATGAATCTTTCTAAACACGTATCATTATCTTCAGAACACGATTCAGATTTAACAGCAACATCAGGATCATCAAATTCATCCTCCATTTCGAGTTTAATGTCTTCTGGTGAATATTCTGGTGGTTCAATTTTAACTACCCAATCATTCATAGACATAATCGTTTCTTCCGACATTTTTAAATATTTTCACAAAAAAAATTAAAAAATAGTTGTGTGCTAAATAATAGTTTGCTAAATAATAATACCAATAATTTTAGTCAATGTGATAAATAAATTCAACTTTTACATTTATTATTTGACATTTGCATTTGAAGCATAGAGTTCATTTACAGCAGTAGAGAGAGCATGGAAGGAAAACTCAAATTGACTGAAGCGCTCGTAGTGGCCATTTTGAGCACTACGAGAGGCTATTATAACCAAAATAGCGAACAAATACGTGTGAAATATTATTTTATTTCAAATTTAAATAAATAAAATAGAAATGAAATACCGAAGTTGTTGTTTAGTAAATTGCAAAAACAACAGTAGAAAAAGCGAGTGTAAATTCTATATATTTCCCAAATGGAAATTAAATCAACGTGAACAGTGGATAGCTGCTGTTAAAAAGCTAAACTAAGAAACCGATTCTGCCGCACAACAGAAAAATGTTACGGCAAGGTCATGTTAAGTTCCGACTTCCATACATTATGCATAGTCAGCATAATTAATCTGTCTACAGATAGACGTTGAGTAATTGGTTTTGAAATTCTAGTTCTTCATCTAGTGGCATTTTCTAGATGAAAAACCCAATGGTTTTATTTGTATTTTAACTACTAATTAACTTCCCGAAGGAGAAGTTTATGTTTTCATCAAAAAATCCGATTCGCTAATTTTATGTTTTCTCGACGTTTCGAGCCATTCTGAATCGAATGAGACCAAATTTGGAAAAAGTATGTGTGTGTGTGTGTGTGTGTGTGTGTGTGCGTGTGCACCAACAGATTTTTTGCCGTAAATCGCCGTTTTCTCAAAAACGGCTGGACCGATTTCAAAAATTTAAAAGACATTCGATGTATCTCGATGAGGACTATTGTTTGCCAGTTTTGTGCGACGATCGGCCAAACCGTTTTTTCGTAAATAGCAGAGAAGTGAAAAGTCGTTCGTCCACGTTTTAGCCCGCAGTTCTGAATCGATTTTGAAAATTCAAAAACCGTTCGAAAGATATTGGTTGGGAATCGTGCTGATTAGTTTTTGGTGAAGATCGGCCGGGCCGTTTTCTTGTAATAAAGTTTAAAAAAAAAATTCGACGATTTTTATGATTATTTTTTTGACGATAGATACCATAGTCTTCTAGATCATACTAAAATATTACGGCCCTACGACGACTGGTTCAGCTTTAAAAATTCGTCAAAGTTTGCAAAAATCAGTATGGTCTTTTTGGCATTTGTCAAAATTAGACTTTTGATCGACGTTTTCTCAAAAACGCCTGAACCGATTTTAGAAATTTAAAAGCCATTTGATGTATTTCGGTGAGGACTATCGTTTGTCAGTTTTGTGCAACGATCTGCCAAGCCGTTTCTTTGTAATTTGAAAATAAGTGTTAAACTTTTCGTCCACATTTAAGCTCATACTACCGAATCGATTTTAAAAAATCAAAAACTGTTCGAAAAATATTAGTTGGGAATGATACTAATTAATTTTAGGTGAAAATCTACCGAGCCGTTTTCTTGTAATTAACTGTTGAAAAAAAGTGTTAAATTTTCGTCGACATTTAAGCTCATCCTACCAAACCGATTTTAAAAAATCAAAAACTGTTCGAAAGATATTAGTTGGGAATGATACTGATTAATTTTAGGTGAAAATCTACCGAGCCGTTTTCTTGTAATTAACTGTTGAAAAAAAGTGTTAAATTTTCGTCGACATTTAAGCTCATCCTATCGAACCGATTTTAAAAAATCAAAAACTGTTCGAAAGATATTAGTTGGGAATGATACTAATTAATTTTAGGTGAAAATCTACCGAGCCGTTTTCTTGTAATTGAACGTTGAAAAAAAGTGTTAAATTTTCGACGACATTTAAGCTCATCCTACCGAACCGATTTTAAAATATCAAAAACTGTTCGAAAGATATTAGTTGGGAATGGTACTGATTAATTTTAGGTGAAAATCTACCGAGCCGTTTTCTTGTAATTAACTGTTGAAAAAAAAATTAAGCCGATTTTCATGGAACTTATTTTGGCGATAATACATCATGTCTTATAGAACTTACTGCAATATTACGGCCTTACAACAAGTAGTTTAATTTTAAAAATTCGTCAAAGTTTGCTAAAATTATTATCGTTTTTTTTGAAGTAGGATTGATGAAGTATATTATTTACACATTTTTTTTGATTAAGTCGATTATTTACACATATCGGGAAGTTCATGTAACTTGCCTCAAGGCTAAATACCAAACCAACTAGTTTATATTTTATTTTATTTTACAAAAATAAATAAACTATAATAAACACATAAAATTATAAACAAAAAAGTTCATAGTTTATATAAAAATATGTCTTTGCACAAGGCAGTATATACTCTTCAATGAGTCTTAGAAGTCTTATGTAACTTTGGAACTATTTTAGATATACTAGCACTAAATTTACAATATACGATTTTTAATAAACTTAATAGTTAATTAAGCTATGTTTATTAATTAAAATTGAACACTTAATTTAGAAGTTAGTAACAATAATACCAAATAATGTCTTTACAGTCCAGAAATGTGCCACGGACCACTTAAGAAAAATTTAAACGTAATATTTTTGTCTAAGAAAAATTTAAACGTTGCAATATTTTTGTCTAAGAAATTGTTTCAGAGAATTTATTCAGCAATAACTTTGTTAAACACAGAATTTAGTTATAAGTAATTTAAAAGTTGTTAAAAATACAGAAAAATGTCTTTGTACCACAAAATATCCGACACGGTTTCAACTTTAACCAAGTTTAAAAATATTTTAAAAATATAAGCTCAGATTTAACAATAATTTTGTCCAAGAAAATGTTTTAGAAAATTTATTCAGCTACAATTTTTTCAAAAATAGTATTAAGTTATAATAAGTAATTTAAATCTTATTAATAAAAATACAGAAAATGTTTTTGTATCACAAAATGGCTGACACGTTTTCAACATTATGCAAGTTTCGAAATATTTTAAAAATATAAGCACAAATTTTACAATATTTTTGTTTGAGAAAATGCGGTAACAATTTTCTTGAAAATAGTATTTAGTTATAATTAGTATTTTAAAAGTTATTGTTAAAAACACAAAGCAATGTCTTAGTACAACAAAATGGCCGACACGTTTTTAACATAAAAAAACATTAAAAAACCATAACCATGTTATAACACTTATAATTTATATTTATAATTTTATATATAAAATTCTTCTGTACAAGTATATGATACTTCTCTTAAACGGCTATTCGGATTTTGATAATTCTTTTTAGTGTTTGTCGAAGAAAATTTTTAAGATTTAATGAACGATAAAACTATAGTAATATTGTAGAAGAAATGGCAAAACTTACAAACAACCACTTATCGTTGTTTGACATTGAAAACATTTTGAACTATCATCTGCTAGAAATGTTAATTCGCTTGAAATTTGAATTTATCTGAAATTATATGAGCCTAGATAATATTAGAATATTACATACAAGAAAAATATAATGTCTACATTATTATTGCCGAAAAGCAGCTAAGATGTGCCAGAAATTAAAATAATATAAAATACAGTCAACCGTATGTTTGGCAAATGAAATTATATGATTCAGTTTAATAACTAACGCAATAAGTCCAAAATTGCATATACATTATTTTTTTAAACTTATGCATGTCACATTTTGGTTTACTTTACTAAATCATTTAACAATACAAAAAAATATTTCTACTTATTAAAAATATGATTTAGAATTTTGTTTCAAGTGTCAAAAATTTATTTGTTTGGCATTGGATATAGAATATTTAGCAAGTTGATCTTAGATTGAATAGTGCACATATAAACTAGATTTTACAAATTAATTCACCTAAGATTTGACCATAAACAATAATGTTTATTAAATAATTAGTAAGGAAAATGTACTTTAGAAATTATAATTTCCAAAAACAACTAATATATCGTACGAGATTATAAAAATTAGAGACTAAATTATTGAAGCAATATTATGTTGTGTTGAAAAATCAAGTGTGATATTAGTACGCAGATATTATATTATATTTTTCTGAATTCCTTATACTGCTTATGCTAAGACTATAAATGAATCAGAAAGGCAGAACATCAAATAGGATATTAAAAAGTATAGAATAGGATATTAAAAAAATTGGAACTTTTGAATTGTAGACGTGGGTACAAAACAACGTCAGGAGCCACTAAATTCTGATAACATGGCGGATGGGTTTTGACGTTTAAAAAGCACCTACGCTCTGAAGTTGGCTCCGGGATAGAGCATAACCCATTATACTCTTCTTTTATCTATGGCATAACCTGTCATTTCGTGGAATATTTAGTTCCGCGTTCTTTTCTCATTTTTGTGGGTATAGCGTCGCGTCGGTTTCGTTTCAAGTGAGCGTTTTATTATATTTTCTGCTTTTTCTTTTCGTGTAATTAGAATTCTTTCGTTCTGTTGCTATTTCTAATTCTATTCTTTTTTTATTTGTTTATAACAGTTTTTTTCACATATTTCAGTTCGGTTTTTCGTTTTTTTGCTCTGGATCGCTTTCCTTGCGTTGCTTTTTTTGCTCTAGTAAGCTTCTTATTATAATTCATGCTTATTTTTCATATTACATAGTTACAATAAGTGTTTTTTAGGATTTTTTACTTAGATTGCGTAAGTTTCTTTCTAGTTTAGTTACGTGTTTTTTTAGATTTTTACTTAGCTTGCGTAAGTTTATTTTTAGTTTCATATTTTTACTATTTAGATACTTACTTTTATTTCACTTTAGGTTACATTCTATTTTATAAGCTTATTTTTAGATTTTGCTCATTTAAGTTTATATTTAGTTTAGAATTAATAGCATTTAGATACTCACTTTATATATTTACTTTTAGCTTCTAATTTTCTTTACATTTATTACGATACGTTTTATTACCTTCATTACTTTTATTTATTTCACTTTATTACTTTACTTATGTGGCAACATGGACAGCAACTTTTTCTGTAC